ACCATAAAATATTTGAGAGAAATATTTTTTTTCTTTTCATTATAAGAGCAATAGTAAAATTTTACTTCTTGAATCACGATTTAAACAGTACTTTTATCTTTATTTAAAAATAAAAGTAGGAACAATATATATTTCAGTTTGCTCGATTTATCTGTTTTTTACAGTTAATTAAATTTTCATAAATTTAATTAATTTTTAAAATTCATTAAATAAATTTCTAAAAATAAAACTTTTTGTATAAATAACTATTTTTAAACTGGGGAATAATTTCTATTTCTTATTTTAAAAGTGCAGTAATTAGTTATTGATTCATACTTTGTTTTAAATTACATTTCATCGAAATATACCTTTCCACGATAAATGGTTATTGCCACATATAAATCTGCGACTGCTTAACCAGACTGATTTCAACACATCTCCTATTTTTCACACCAAGTTCACACATCCTGTTTGGTAAATTTTCATCGTTGCTTCAACTAACGGCACCCTTAGAAAATAAACAATAAGAAACATTGTCTTCCGTACCCCACCCCTTGTTCTTTAGGACTAACTTCCCCCATATCTCGACCCCCATACAGCTGCTAAAATTGATATAAGGCATGGACCACCCCGGTCTAAATCTTTGAATATTGTTTATTTCCATAAAGCTTCTGCCAAGGCTCTTTTCTTTCGCATTAAACGTGATGGAATAGTCTTACCGTTTATTATTCTAAAAATGATTATTACTTTTTCTTGAGTGGGTTTTAAAACTAAAATAGCAATTGCATGGAAGGATTTATAATAGAAACTTTTCTTTTGTTGTGTTTAAAGAAGCAGAGGAATGTACGCTTAGAAAAAATATGGTCAATACCAGAACATGGTTAAAATTACAGTATTTCTGGTTAAATGGGAACACAAAAAAACTCAGTATTTTCTTACCGAAGTGGTTGGATAATAATTTTGGTTAAATTTACCATAAAATCTATTGTTATGATTTGTGATAAATTTATTAAATGAAACAAATTTCGGTAATTTTATCATGATTTTTTTGGAGCATGGCATAAAAATCATTTATTCGGTTGCATTTGCTGTTCAGTTTTGTATTTTTTACTAAATGTTTGGTAATAAGAACTACGATTTTGAAAACCAGAATATATGGTAAACCATTACCATATTAGTGACGAAAATACCAAGTGGAAATTTATAAATACTATATATTTTATTTTCATTACGTTTTTTTTTCTCACCAGAAATATTATTACTATACATTACGGTAATTCTACAAGTTTTTTTTTGCTCCGCGTAGTGATTCAAAGTAGTGTCATGACATTTATATGCTTCATTTTTTTTTTTTTTTTTTNTTTTTTTTTTTTGGAAATTGATCTTTAAATAAGTTTGTAAGCTTAGAGATGAAACTTTCTGTTTTCTACGAGAACGTGTTAGGAATTAAATTTGAAATTACAACTTGAAGATAAAATTTTTTTATTTTTTTTCTTGTATGTTTCTGGATATTTGGGGAGAATGCATTATTAGTTTTAAAGAAATTTACAACTTTAATATAAAATATTAGAAAAATATTTAGTATTTTTTTCAATTTTGTTGTACTATGAAAAATGCATTAAAAATTAAATGTAAAATTAGAACTTGAGTATAAAATCTTTGAAAAATTTTTAAGTTTTCAGATAGAATGCTTGGGAGGAAACATATTAGGAATTAAATATAAAATAATAACTTGACTAAAAATTGTTAGGAACATTTTAGCATGAAATAGTTTAAAATAAACATGAATATAAAATATTTGAAAAAACAATCGTTTAGGAAATTGTTTGAAAAAACAATCGTTAGGACGCAATCGCTTAAGAAAAATAAGTTTAGAATTAATTATAAATTTACAACTTGACTATGAAATATTTGAAGAATTTTAGCAAATTTAACAATGCGTTTAGGAAAATATGTACTAGGACTTAAACATAAAATTACAACTTGAATATAAATTATTTGAAAAATTTTAGCCCCCTAAATTATCGTAAATTTGAAAAATTTACGATAATTTAGGGGGGAAATGGTTTAAGAAAAAAATTAAAATTATTATTAAATATGCAAATAAAAACTGTAAATAATTTCAATATGTTTTTGGATAAAAACTGTTTCTACTTTTTGAGAAAAAAAACTGTTAGAAGTTACGTCATGAATTTAAATTTTTTTGAAGAATTTTCGCATGTTTCTGGGTGCGATCGTTTAACATAAAGAGTACTATGAATTAAATATGAAGTACAACAGAAGAAATATATTGTTTGAATAATAATTATACATTTCTGGATACACTCAATTGGGAAAAATTGTTCATTGAAATTAAGCATAAAACTACACCTTAAGTATGGTTGTATTTGGATATTTACTAAAGTTTGAAAACTTTAAATATATTTCTAAATACAGCCATATTTGGAAACAAATTTATTTGGAATAAAATATAAAATGGTTGAAAAAATATAGTCTGAACCATTTAGAAAGAAATGTACTAAGAATTGTGTACAAGTTACAACATGTGTATGTAAAGAAATAAAACTTTTTACACATATCTGATCATTTGGAAAAAAATTTATACGGAACTCAGTACAAAATTATTATAAAAATGTAAAAAGCTTAAAATTATGGAATAGAACATTTGAGGAAAATGTATTTAGAATAAAATATAAAATTGCATACTAAATACAAAGTATTAGAAAAAATTAAAAAAATTTCTTTTGAGCGGCTTGATCATTTAAAAAAATTGTATTTGAAATTACAACATGAATACATTACAACAATTATAAAATTGCAACATGAATAGAAAATTTTAAGACATTTTAGCACACTTAGAAAAAAAAATTGGTAAACTTAATATACAGTATGGTAATTAAATTTTTAATACCATGATCGTGGTAAATAAAACCAAAATATATGGTATTTAAATCACTTATTTGGTAATTTTTCTGTTCATATGGTAAAGATTTACCGGAAATTCTGGTTTTTTAAATCATAGTCTTTTTATTACATATTAAGTAACAAATTGAAAACAGAATAGTAACTTTTACCAATTTTATGCCATGCTCTAAAAACTAAGATATATTATTATATAATTACCAAATTTTACCACATTTATCAAATTTTAACTCTAATTATACACCAATATTTTATTATTAATTTTAACAAAATCTTTACCAAAGCACTTAAGTAAAAATTACCTGCTTTTTGGTGTTCCCATAAAGCCAAAAAATTGGCAAATTTTTGCATATTCTAGTAAATTTAACCACATTTTTTTCTTAATCTAAATTTCTGAATGCAGTCATTTGGAGACAAGTGTTATCGGAATTAAGTATAAAATTACAGCATGAATTGAAGATATTAATATTAATAAATTTTAGTACGTTTCAGGATTTGATCATTTGCTTTGATCAAAAAGAGAGCTTCTTGAATTGTTTTATTAATGAATTTTCAACATTTTTGTCATTTTAGCAATAAAATTACAAAACACTCTCTTTACCAGACTTAAAACAATCTATCTATTTATAATTTCCTGCTCTTTTTAATTTCTATCATCACATTTATTTCAACAATAATATTCTAACTTCATGTTTAAAAACACAACAGTTGCTGATTTAAACCGGGTCTTTCAATAATTTGCAGATCTTTCAATAATTTTTTAACATTTTTGTCACAGTAAACAATAATATTTTAATTTCCTGTTCAGGGACACTATCGATATCGGATTAAATACATATGTAACTTTCTGTTCGTTTTTATTATTTTATTCATGTTAACAATACAATTTTTTTTTTCAATTCATCTTTAAGAACATTACTGATACCAGATTAAAGATTATTTTTTACAGTTTCTGACCTTTCAATGAATTTTTAACATTTTTGTTATATTAAACATAATATTTTAATTTCATGTTCCATGACACTATCGATAGCAAATTAACAACGGTCTTTAGTCTCATAATTTTCTACTAATTCTATGAATTTCCACCATTATATACATTTTTACAATACGATTTTAATTTCTTGTTCAAAAACATTACCGAAACCAATTTTAAGGTTACTTTTTATAGTTTTCTACTCGTTCAATGAATTTGTAACATTTTGTCACATTAAACAATAATATTTTTATTTCATGTTTAATGAGACAACCGATACTGAATTAAAGACAGTCTTAAGTCTTGTAAATTTCTACTCATTCTATAAATTTCTTTAACTTTATTAATTTTATCAATACTATTTTAACTTCATGTTCAGAAACATTACCAATACCAGATTAAAGTTTGCTTACAGTTTTCTGCCTTTTCAATGAATTTGTAACATTTCTGCCATGTTAAACGCCATATTAATTTAATGTTTAAAAGCATTACCGATCCGGATTAAAGGTTACTTCTCATAGTTTTAGGCTCTTTCAATAAATTTCTTGCATTCTTAAATTTTTGACAAAATATTATAGAATTTCAAAAATATTATAGATTGCGAATTAAAAACGACATATTTTTCTTAAAATATTTCACTCTTTATGTATGAATTACCATCATTTTATTCACTCTCCCAAAATAAATTTAATTCCTTGTTACATTACAGATATCGGATTAAAGATTTCTTCTTATAATTTTCTGCTATTCAATGAATTTTTTACATTTTTGTCATTTTAATACTGATATTATAATTCCTAATTCAAACACACTGCATCGATACTTTTACCAACAGATTTGCTTTTAACCTATAAAGATTTCTCTTTTTTTTTTTTTTACTAAAAAGCACCTTTCCATCATGGAACGACACTTTTCCATCACCATGCATTTGCCCCTCCCTTACACAATTCATTAACACGACATTCGAAGAGACGGCAGAAAAGTGTGCGCAAGTGTGGAGGGAAAAACACGCCAGTGATGAGAGCGAAGTTGCCACACCCCGTAACATTCTACTAGCTCCACCCATCTTCAGAATACCGAAACTTCATTTTATTCTGAATTATTCAGACCTGTACATTCGATACCGCACTGTCGTCTGCAACCGAATATATTTTTCGCTATAATCATGTGTAGTAATTAATATTTCTATACGCATTTAATTTCTCTCAATTCTTTTAAATCTTTTGCGACAAATAGATTTCATAAAACTAAAAGTCATTTTTATGCAACTAGAATTCCAATTTAGACTCGTAAATGAAAAATAAAATATTAGTCAAAATTTAATAAATAGTCAATGGCGAGTTTGACAGAGCCGAGATTAATTCACTATTAATGTTGATATTATTACAAATTGCATTCGAAAAATAGGAGAAATTTTTCCCAAAATTTGAGCTAAACCATTTACATTTTCTAGTCAAAACAGAAAATTGTTCATTAAAATGCAAGTATGACGCTTGTTTTGAAAATGGTTTGGACATAACTTTATGAAACATTTTCTGTATTACAAACGGAAATAATTTTTTTCTCGAACACATCGAATTCTTATAAAGAAAAGAACCTGATACGTTTTTGCTGATACTGTTGACGATGTTTAAAACTAAATAAAGTTATCTGGCAACATTAAGCCCTTCAATTATCACCTGCATCTCGGAAGCACCCTTTTAATCATCTGCACCCTTCTCAAAAACGTCACAATCTCCAGTACTAAAAGTGCTAAAGAGGTCTGTGCACTGTCACTCGAGTAAGGATATCGACCGCACAAGTCGACCCCCTTGTCACACACTCTGTGACCCTTGACCCACCTCTACTTGCTACGCGGTGAACTGAATCGGGGGTTTCGAAATCAACAACCGATCGCTCAACCCCCGTACTCCAAGAGCACTTGTCAGAAACAACACCCACTCACTGTACTTCCGAAATCGAATCCCGGGGCTCCGGCATGGCATTCAAGGAGCTCAACGGTACTTCTTTTTCCATCTTCCACATTTTGAAGCAGAAATCACAATTGGCACTGAGGAATGGTGTGCAAGATTCGGAACAAAGGACACTCGCTGGACTGTCCGGTAAGACAGTGGAAAAAGATCCGTTGGATGCAGGCATGCATCGTAAAGCGTTCATGCAAGGGATTGTACCAGACTATGAAGATGAATACCATTCCTCAGAAGATAATGAATCTCTGAGCAAGTATCAAGTTTGCGATCTGTCTCCGAGATCTTACAGAGAGAGGAAATCTTCCAAAGAAATTGAATCTGCACATGAAAGAAAGAAGGAAGGGAGTAATCTTCGACGGTATGAGTTTGGCTACAAGCACAATCTACATTTTTCTGAATCCGATCTTGATCAACAAGAACCAGGTGAGAAACCATTCTCCTTTATTTTCCTTTCACATAAAAATTATTAAACTTTTATCATATCTTATGGGTAGTTTCGTATCAATCAATCAACGCTGTTATTTCAATGAAAGAATGTAATCTATGAATTCATAACCATTTTTTAAGAAGAAAATCGTTGCTTTGACTATGTAAGTTCAAGTTAAAAAAGATAAAATTCAAGGAGCATAAAATATTTCATTTTTCGGTTTAGTTCATTTTATTAATAAAATATCTCTTAAAGCAGTGTATTATTGTATAAAGCTGGTTAAATGTTGTGAAATATAAAATTATGTTTTAAAATTCAGAGGTAACATAGAAAGGGAAGGGAAAAAATATATCATTTAAAGCTATTAATTTTGAAAGATTTAATATTTGTTATTTTTAGAAGCTCATTCCATTTAATTATTGTAAAAGTTGCTAATTCCATTTAAATATTGTATTTAATATTTGCTTTAATTTAATGCAAATTTATATTGATTAAAGTTAAATGTGTTAAACTAGATCATTAAGCTTAATGGCAAGATTATTTAGCTGAATAACAAGATTGTTGCGCTGAATAGCAAGATTATTAAGCAAAATAATAAGATTATTAAGCTGAGTAACAAGATAATTAGGCTGAATAACAAGATTATTATGCTTACTAATCAAAATCTGTAGATCAGCAGTTAACATCAAGTTTGTAATTCACCATTAACTAATCATACCATTTATTTACTTTAACAAATGGGCTGCATTTTTGTATCACAAATTAGTTAAATAAGAAGATTGGGATAACTATTTATTTCAGGTATAAGAAAAAAGTATTTAATTTATGAGGTTGTAAAATGTTTAGATTTATAACCAACCAAATGAAATATTTTGCATAATAACCAATTATTATGCATAGTACATCTCCTAATGCAGCTAATTTAAAAATTGGAGAAAAATAATTAATGAAAGCTAATTTATTTCTTTTTTTTAAACTAATTGGACATTTTTATTTGGAAAATGATACTTTTCTGTACTTTTCTGTAAACTCCAAATGATCAGAAGGTTCACTTCAGTAATAACAAACAGATTTTTTTAAAATATTTTGTTAAATTAAAAAAAAAATTGTAACTTTTGTTTTTTTACGAAATTTTATACTATCTTTCAAATTAGGTCTTAATTTTATGATTAGTTAAATCAAAATTTGAGGAAGATTTAGACTCATTTATTTTTGTGAAACAACCAGTATAAATATTAATTTACTTATTTTTTAGATTCAAAATATTTTAATTATGCTTTTTACTTTTTATTTTATTATAAAAAAGGCAATATTAAATGAACTTATAATTTCATCATTACAAAAGGTGAAACAAACAAGGAAGACTAGATTCTTAAATATATAAATTATAATTTTTGAGATAATTAGTATTAAAGATAATAAACGTTAGAGTTCTTCAAACTAATTCTGCCTTTTGATGATAGTTGTCTACGATCATTAACTTCGAATACTTTAATTTAATACAATTGATAAAACTTTGTGAATCACATAAAAAGAAAATGTATAATTTAGCAGTTAATTTATGGAACAAAATACCAGATTTTTTCATAAGTCACTTTCTGAATTTAAGAGTAAAGATTATAAATATAGGTTTTAAATTTTGCTTAGAGCTTAGAGTTTACCTATTAGTCGATTGTGATGAAATTTTTATATTTCATGATCTTTTAAAGCACGAAATTATAAAACATGTCATTTTAAAATTTAGTTTTAATTATTAATACAATTTATCAATTTGTTTTACATCTTTTACAAATATTGCATCTTTTTTGAGAAATTAAAATTGAAAACTGAAATTCAACAATTTTTACTTCAAATCGAAAAATTAAACATATCATAATTAATGTTTAAAGATTCAATATCTGGTCAAAATTATTTAAATTCTTATTTCGAGATCGCAAATTGAGTGAACTAATCAAAATATAGTTTATAAAAAAAAGCAAAGTATTTTTTATATGAAAATAATAAAATAATAATTAAGTTATTAATGAAAAAATATCTATGCCTAGTCTTCTGATAGCTCTTTAATATTTTAGAATTAAAACTAACATTCACTCTTTAAGGAAATTTAATGAGCTAGCTTGCATGTGATTATTACATATGAAACTAGACAGAATGACAGATATAAGATGGAGAATACAAACTAGACAAATTTAAAAAATTTTGAAAACTTTTAACAATAATTAATATTAAAAAACTTAATCATAATCAGTTAATTCTATCTCATACAGTATTGTATAATGTGTGAAATATGTATAGCTATAGCATACGATAGTATTTTTAAAATTTGATTTTGAGAAGAAATAAAATTCTCTGAGCATGCACATACGTTAAAGAATATTATATTAGAAACTTTATTCCCTAAACATTACATTTCATTCACTTTTTCTCAAAAACTCCATATTATTTCAACCGAAGATATTTTCTTTAAAAAAAAATATTATGTGTCATTTAACACATCAGTTTGTAATTTAATGAATAGTTTTGCTCTACAATTTATAATGAATCATTTAGCAAACAATATAAAGTTTAAAGAAAATTTGAGCAAATTCTTATGATATTGTATAATAGAAGTAAATGATTGCTCGTATCATTACTGCATATAATTTTTTTCCAAATCTCATGAAATGCTTCATATAAAAATGTTCTATTTACATAAAAGTAATTTTTCCTTAACAAATGTTGAAAGGTTAATTTCTGTGTTAAACTGGAGTATCCCGAAGGAAAGGAATTTGTAACTTTATGTGTGAATTTCTAGTTAAATAATAACTGCTTTAATGCACATAAATAGTAAATTTCATATTTCTAAGCAAAAAAAAATTTGGTTGTTTAATAATTTGTTGCGTTGGCTATTGTACTTTTTATAGATACTATCGATAGTATAAAAAATAAACTTTAAAAATGGTTTTATTTCATAAGTTTTTGTTCCACCTTATTTTAGCTGTTTTATGTTTATTAATTTATTTTTTCTTAACTAACTTAGAAAACTTCGAGCTCCATTTCTCATATATTATTTTTGTCTGTCCGACAAATAAGGAGCTCTTGAAAGAACTTATGGTTCATAAACTTATTATTTTCAAAGAAACGTGTTTTAATAGTTTCAAGCTCAATCCAAGTTATTATGAGTAACAATAATAATACCTCAATTAAACATGAATTAATAATAATCTTATCCCTTATTTAGCAAAATGAATATGTTCTTTTTCATACTCAAAACAATGGATGGAGAAATGAACAAAAATTAATCAAATTTATAGTATTTGAACCCTTAAAAAAGCTTAAACGCAACTTAATTGTTATTTTAATTGAAATGATTCATAGTTTAAAGGGGGAAAAAATATTGTAAAAATAACTTAACATCTGGTGGGGATTGAAAAATAAATTCTTAAATCTGCAATTAGACGTCTACGAAAATTTTTGATTTTTAGATTGCATATATTTAAAGCAAGTAATAATTAAAATTTATAGTGCTTTAAGTTTTGGGCTGTTAAATACACCTTAGTTTTGATCAACAAGTTCTTAATTATCCTTGTAAATTTAAGTGGCATATTCAGATAGACAAAAATTTTGGTTTCACTAAACTTTCACTAACTTTCATTAAACCAAAATAATATAAAATTAAAATCTAATTGTCTAAATATCTTCACTGAAGTGCGAAATGATACAAATTGATAAAAAAATTTCATTCCCAATCAAAAATTTTTCGATAATTGATTTTGTAAATTAAAGAAATTTCAATGATGAATGACTGTGTTTCTGTTAGATCTAAATAACTGCAAATAAATGCAAACTTGAAGAATTATGGTTTGGAATGTTGGGAAGATTTTACTTTTAATCCAGGCGGTGTTTCATTATATATTTTATAACAATAAATTATCAGAGGGCCAAATATAATATTTTTCACATATCTTAAATTTACACAAAATAATGAGAAAAGAATGAAAAATATGATTAATAAAAATTCAGCATCAAAGGATTAAAATAATATTATATTGCAGAAATTCTATTTTTACACTGAGAAAAAAAAAGTATGGTCAGAACTACCAGAAAATGGTTAAATTTACCATGTTTATGGTTTCATGAAAACACCAAAAAGCGATTTCTTAATAATTTAGTTATATTGACCATAAAGTATAGTGTTATAATATGTTATGTAAATTAGTAAGAGTAACAAAATTTTGTAACTTTATTGTGATTTCTTAGACCCTAGTCTTAAACCCATTTATTCTATAAAATTTACTTTACAGTTTTTTTATTTATTACTAAATGTTTGGTAAAAAAAACTATAATTTTAAATACCAGACTTTCTGGTAGACTGAGACCATATGAACTAAAAAATTATCAAATCAATGGTTTATGAAGTTCATATTGTTTGGTCATTTACCATACAGTTCGTTAATTTTAGTAGAATTTTTTTCCCCATCAAATGCTTGATAATCAATTACTATAGTGTCGTAATAGTTTTATGTAATAAAATTTATAATCTGGACACATTTATTTCAAATTACGATAATACTTATCCGATTAAAATAATATTGATCTAAATCTTCAATTTATAGGTGATTCAGTGACTACAACTACCGTGGAAGACACGACAATATCTGCCGCCTCCAAATCCACCAACGACGGCACAACATATGGCCGATCAACATCGTCACCAAAGCCGCGGAAGAAACGGTCCAGAGCGGCGTTTTCCCATGCACAGGTGTTCGAATTAGAACGCAGATTTAGTTGTCAGCGCTACCTGTCGGGCGCAGAAAGAGCTGATTTGGCCCAGGCACTGAAGCTGACAGAAACACAAGTCAAAATTTGGTTCCAGAACAGGCGATACAAGACCAAACGCAGACAATTGCAGCAAGAATTAGGTCATGCTTTGTCTCCAGCAAGGAGAGTAGCAGTTAAAGTTTTAGTCAAAGATGACCAAATGATGTATCAGCCTGATGAGATGTCACCTGCTCGTGCCCCCCTATTATACCCTTCTTTTCCAATGCCCGGTTTTGCCCTGAGTTATTTGTACTCACCCTGGCTTTTTGGTTGCGGGCAAGGGACCTTGCCTCATCCTCCCCCGCATCCAATGTAAAATCAAAATATTTCTTTAGAAATAGAAAGCCAAAAGAAAATTTACTAGTCGTACTTAACAATTCAATTGGCAATAATCACGAACTTTGTAAATATGGTTATTTTATGTGCAATTTTGCTCAATTGTTGTTTTATTTCCTATTGTCTGTTTTAAATGAAAATTCCGTTTAAGATTAAAATTCATGCTCGATTATTGCTTATAAATTAAGATCATAGTATCAGGGAGACTGGAAAGTAATGTCGTTTCGGAGCATTAAATATTCGTTAGTATTAAAAAAACAATTTTTGTTTTTTTAAAAATCCATTTCGATTTACTCTTGATCCGGCATTGAAAGATTGTTAATAACGAGGGTAAATACATTATTGATTAGAAATAAAATCTTGATAACAAATATCAAATGCACCGAAACGACATTACTTTCCGGTCCTCTAATATTAATTAATGGTCATAGTTGTTATGTTTTGGATTAAAATCTCTCTCGCACGGCTCCCCTTCTCTCTGTTTTAAGGATTAGTTTATTTTAATATCATATGCGGATAGAAAAAAATTACACTTAATTCTAATAAATATTGTATTGATTTTCTGACTACCTAATTATCTTTCAATTGTTTCCCCTCAAGTCTTGATTATTAACACATTATTTATCTGATATTAACTAAAAACTAGTTATTTTTTCAGTTTCTGAAAGAGGTAACAAATTATTTATTTAACCGCTCCTTAAGAAAGTGCGAAAAAAATATTTAATGTTAGGTTATGATAATCAAGTGCTTTGAAATTGCATCTTTCAAATTAACTCTTTGTGTGGAAAAGGAAAAGCCTCGTTTTATTACAAAATTTAAACTGACAGGTAATATTTAATATTTAATGATGCGTGTTAAAAATAGCGTAGCTTAGAATCATATAGAGTAAAAATTAATTGTTTTTAAAACTTTTTTTTTTTTCAATCTGGTACTAAGAAACAGATTCGAGAAAAAGATTTTTTCTATGTAATTTTAATATTATTAATAATTTGTAAGTTTAAATTTTTTCTTTTTACAGAAACTTCGCAAATACTGTCATATATGTTACTAAATAGGGTAACAAACAAGACATTTTAAAGAACATAATTTCAAAAAACTAAATTATTCAAAAAAACATAAAAATTCCATTCTTATTTAGGCTATAAAATCGAATCATTTAAATTATCCATCTAGATAACTAAAAAAATCAACAAACGATTATAGCATACATGATATAGCAAAAAAATTTACAATGAGAAAAAAGTATACCAGAATACGAACAAAATTCGCCGTTTTTCTGGCTTTATCATGATACCTTAGAACAGGGCACAAAAATAATTTATTCGGTAAAATTTATTTTTCAGTTTCGTATTTTTTACTAAATGTGTACTAATAAAAGTTATAATTTTGAAAACCAGGATTTCCAGTAAGCGATTATCGTATGGGCGAAGGTATTACCAAATAAATGGTTTAAACGAACATTTTAATTAATGACTCCATAGCTCTGTTTAAGTTCATCCATTCCTTAACAATGATAATTTTAGTCAAGAATAACAATAATCATTCTGGTCGGGGAAAATACAAATTATTCCGGTCAATAATAATAATAAATAATTATCATTAATTCTGACCGAGAATAATAATAGTTATTTTAGTAGAGGATAATTCTAATCATTCTGATCAAAAATAATAACAATACACAAGTGATACTTACTCTGAATGAAAGTGATAATAATTGTTGAGGTGGAGGATAATAATTATTCTGGGCAATAATAATAATAATTAATTAGCATTAATTCTGATCGAGAATAATAATAATTATTATTATTCTGTATGAGGATAAAAATAATTATGCTGGTTAAGAATAACAACAATAAACAATTAACATTAATTCTGATCGAGAATAATATAATTATCATCGACCAAAAATTTTAATCTATTTTATATTACAATACATAATTAAAAAAATTTATATCAGCACACTACGGTATTTATAACATTTCATCGGTATTTTTCTCATCAGTATGTCTTAATAGGACTGTTATGTTGTATAAGTAATACTCCTCAAGACCTATAGATGATAACTTTATAAAATTGGTCCTGTATGTATGATAAGTTGTTTTATTTTAATGTGTCTTAAATAATTTTGCTTGATAAAAAAATTTATTTAATAATATTTTTGAAAAATAATACAGTGTAATAATATACAATTATATATTTTTTATTATATATTTTCTAAACAGAATACTTGTGATAATTTTTTAACGTTTTCTCGTGGTATAACAATACCAAAAAAATCTCTCTAATACATTTACAATAAATAAATTCCGGATCAAATCACGATCTAAAGCATCGGCACTTTCTGTGCATCCGTAAAATCCACTTCACCGTAAAACTCATTTATACAGTAAAATAGTATACCGTAATTTTTATAGTAACATTCATTTTAGAGTGATTTAGTGATTTTACTGTAATTAATACTGTAAAAAATTGTGATGCAGCAGATTTTTTGTTCCGTAACTAATTCCGGTAAAAATGGATTTTACGAGAAAATGTATCTGCACCCATAGTACCGGTACTCTTAACCATAATTTGTTCCAGAATTTTTTACAATGCATTAAAAGGAAAGCAATATTTCAGAAATTTGTTCGAGACCACTTCAAAAAATAACACTATTGTTTCATGTCCTTATAATGTAAAAGCTTGTTATATATTATTTGTTTTATTATGTAATCCTGTGTAAGTATGTATGTTCTATGGAATAAAAGCATGTATATATTACCTGAAACATATTTAGCTTCTTTTTTTCATATATATAATCGCAGTAAGTATCATTTACAAAAGTTAAGTTTTATAGTACTCTTTCACTTTTTTAATATCGATAGTCTTAAATTTTTTTTAAAAGAAGCTAAAAAAATTTGACTTAATTTTTAATAGCTGAAAAAATGTCTTTTCTATTTATAAAGATGAGATATCCTTTTGACTTAATATTTAATGAAATTCTGATTTAATAGCCTTTCTTTCTTACAAAAATTACTATCTTACGAAAAATTTAAGAAATGTGATTTCGTTCCTCTTTTTACCCCATTCCAGGCTTTGTAGTGGGTCAAAAAAAAACAAAAAAACAAAAAAAAAACAGGACAAATTAAAAAGAAAAAAAATAGGCCAAAAATCAAGACATTTTTTGGAACAATATACATATGCCAAACTAATTTTAAAACAAATTGCTCTTCTTAAGTATAATAACGGGACATTTTGACACAAAAGTATCATAAATTTCATTTTAATTTTTCAGGATAACTTTTAATACCATTTTAAATTTCCGGATAACTTTATTCGGAAGAGAAAGTCTTAGAAATTTCCAATATAATTTTATTAATGGAGCACTGAACAACTCACAATAGTTTGAAATCAATGGATAGAAAATTTTCACTATCACACAATAATCAGTATCAACTAGTTAATATTCTTTCATACCAAAATTTAAATAAAATTTGTAATAGAATTAAAGACTTCCTTAATCAAATTTTTTTTTTCAAAAAAGGATATAAATAATCTTTAAACAAAAACACAGTGAATATTCCTAAAATTTTTGAGCAAAACTAATTTGCTAGATGTTTCAACAATTCACTATTTATTCATCCTAATTCCTCAACACTGTGAATATTCTTAAAATTATTGAGCAAAATTAATTTACTGAATAACTTCTCAAATCATCATTTATTCCTCAAGATTCCTCAACACAGTTTGTTCTGCAAGATTTGTTGCTGTTGTTTGCTGATAAATAAAATACAAGCATATGGCTCCTGACTCTCTATAAAAATCTAACAATGTAAAGTTGTTCATTAAATTTTTTTTCTTCATAAAATGAATCAATGAATTTTAATTCGAATACAGATCCTAAGTTTGAATTATAATCAAAATTAAAAAAAGCTGTGTACAATGTATTGTGCACTACATTTTTATAAACTCAAATTATTCAAAAAAAAATAATAATAATAAAGAATTATTTTTCCATTTTATGCTAATAAAATATATATTTAGAACTATATTGAATTTCCATACGTGGTCTTAAAGCTAAATTGGATCGTAATAACTTAGCATCCTACCATCGCGATTAAAAGATGGAGCTTTTAAAAACGGAGCTGGGCCATGGTAGGAAGAAGCGTACTGGGGAGAGTGAGGGAGTTTTCAACTATTATTTATGATGATTTAATAAAGCTTTATGTAAAAGAAATCTTGGGTATTAATTTTTCCGAAAAAACACATTTAATTTAAAGTATGAATTGTAGCCTTATAAAACAGTAGCTGTATATGTCTTTTTTGCTGGACTAGATTGATTTAAAAAATATCTGCATTTAACTTTATAAAAACTATAATTTTTTCCAAGATCTGAACTGAACTTGAAAATAATTGAGTTATGTTAATGATAACGGCATTTCATTGTTTTACCTGTAGGTTTTATGGTGATTTTTTTTTCCTGGGGCAGTCCTATTGTGACTTTTTATGATTTTCATTGTTCCTTAGAAAGCTGAATGTACTTTTATTTTCAATCTTTAGCTTTCTATCAGCACCATCAGTATAAATGAGTTGCCATAGTAACCATCGCTTCACCCTGGTATGCAGCCTCCATCGTATTCAATGACATTTATCCCAGTTAAAAGGATTTACATGGAGCACTAAATCTCTAAATTGTCCCTCAACCATATTCCCCATTAATGCTCACTAGACCCATTAAAGGATTAAAAAAATACGCATTGTTAATAAATATTAATATTTATTTAATATGTGTTACAATACGAATAAAAGTTTCAAATTTATTTTTGATGATAACATAGATTTTGTGTTAATTTCTGTATAAAAGCAATAAAAGATATGTCTATTGTTTATTGTCTATTATTAATTTTTTTAAATCATTTTGTACAAGTTTCGCAACAATGTGGAGTCAGAATTTAAAATGTTCGACTTGAGGTAATAAATGCCTATTTCTAAGCTCTGACTTGCAAAGATTAAAATTTCCATTAATTATTAATCCCCTTAATAGATTCCGATTTTAATAATTATCCATTTTAAATATTAGAATTTCCACGGAATCCCGGGAAAGTAGTATTAAATAAAAGTTAGTTTCAAGTTTTGTATTGTACGATTAGAGTAAATTAAATTTATTTTAAAGCATAAAAGTTGAAGACATAAAATGAAAAGAAAATTTATTTGTATAAAATATTGACAATTTGCTAAACCATTATAAGAGAAGAACTA